CCATTCCAAATTCAGAAATTCAATAGGGCATACAGGCGAAGTGGAATCAAGCCTAGATAGTTATTTCCAGATGGCTCTCCACAAAATCGACAAACTCAGCCCCGGAACAGATCTATTCCACAGAGAACATTTCCTCAAACATCTTCTCAAAACACTTTAAAAAATTATTCATTTATTCGTTCAAATTCTGAACCACCTAACTTGGATCATATTAAATGCAGGGCTTGTTCAGGATTTGGACATTATGCTAATGAATGTGCAAATACCTTGAGAAGAAGAGGAATGAGTTTGATTTGTGCTGTCAGTGATGAGGAGGAAGAGCAACCTGAACAGACAGAGGAACAGCAATCCACTAAACAAGCTCTTTCTGTCAGATATATCACTGGAAGTGCTTCTGAAACAGAATCACAAGGAGTTTCTCTAGATGCTGCAACACTTTTTGAAACACTTTCAGTAACTGAAATTTCTGAGTTAAATACTGATCATTATACATGTTTAAACTCTATTTTTTTGAATGCTGCAGAATCCAGTAAAGAAGCAATTAGTGATGAGGAAGAAATGTGTAAGAAATTGGTTATTGACCTGGAGAAGAAGACTCAAGCTCTAGATGCAGCCAACAAGGAAAACTCTTCCCTTAAAGAAACAATCATACATTTAGAGGTTGGTATCACCAAGAAGGATCTTGAACTGGCAAAGGTGAAAGATGAACTCAAAGAAGCAACTCTAGCAATCAAGAGGATGAATACTGGCACAACTAAAATCGAAGAGATTGTGTCACTGGAAAAGTACTACAAAAATGAAGGGCTAGGGTTCAAAACACAAGTGAAGAAACACAAGCCAGTGAAGAAGAAAGAAATTGTCTTTGTAAAAGAAAAGGGTGCAAACGGAAAGGAATGCAGGAATTCCACAGTCACCACTCCAGATTCCAGAATAAGGGGATACATTTGTCATTACTGTTTCTCACAAGGACATATTCGTCCATTTTGTAAAAAACTCAGTAGTGACAAAATGTTGTACAAAATGAGCCACATCACTCCAAGAAACACCTCAAAGAAAAATGTAGAATTTACCAAAAAGGAGTGTAGAATATGGACTCCCAAAGGTAAACTTATGTGCAAAGCAGTATACACTTCTTTAAATGCTAACATTTCAGGTTCGTGGTACTTTGATAGTGGATGCTCTAGGCACATGACTGGAACAAAATAATTCCTATCAAACTACCATACACTCAATGGAGGATGTGTAACCTATGGAGGAGGAGCTAAAGGCAAAGTGGTTGGACGAGGAACACTCAGTATTGAGGGACTTCCAAAACTTTCAAATGTCTTACATGTTGAAGGATTGGGGTCAAATCTCATCAGTATTAGTCAATTGTGTGATGATGATCTACGTGTTCAATTTGATAAATACTGTTGTTCTGTGTTTGATAATCAAAATCATTGTGTACTGACAGGTTCCAGATCAATGGATAATTGTTATCAAACAGGTGACACCATCTCATGCAAGAGTTCAAGAGTAAGTGAAGTAGAGCTGTGGCACCAGAAACTAGGGCACACAAACTTCAAAAATCTGAAGTTGCTCAACAAGTACAATTCCATAAGAGGAGTTCCAGATCTCAAGATCAAGGATATTCCTCTATGCGGAATGTGCCAGAAGAGAAAGCAAACTAGAGTGCCACACAAAGTGTTACAACACGTTGGCACCACTATTTGTTTTGAACTTGTACATATGGATCTTATGGGTCCTATAGAGGTAGAAAGTCTAGGTGGTAAAAAATATGTCTTTGTGTGTGTTGATGATTTTTCAAGATATACTTGGGTGTATTTTTTAAGAGAAAAATCTGATACTTTTGAAGTTTTCAAAAAATTGTACAGGTTTGTTAGAACTCAATTTCAAGTTTATGTTCGTAGAATAAGATCTGATCATGGAAAATAATTTGAGAATGCTTTATTTCTTGCTTTTTGTAATAAAAAGGGTATAAAGCATGAATTTCTTGCAGAACTATCCAGGAGATGGCTAGGGTGATGATGAGTGCAAAAAATCTATCTAAAAGGTTTTGGGCTGAGGTTGTCAACACAGCTTGTCACATCTCAAATCGTGTGTATCTAAGATTAGAGTCTATGATGACTTCAGATGAAATTCTTTATGGTAAGAAACCTAATCTAGAATACATGCATGTGTTTGGATGTGTCTGCTATGTTCTAAACGATAGAGATCATCTAGCTAAATTTGATTCAAAAAGTGATTTGAGTTTGTTTATGGGATACTCTAATAACAGTCACGCTTATAGAGTATATAATCTAAGAACTCGAACCATTATTGAATCTGTAAATGTGGTATTTGATGACTTTGCTGATCTCCGCAGTAAAACAGCTGATGATGAAGTTGATGACCTAATTGCTGAAAGAGAAACACCCGAAGAAGACACTTCTGCCACAGATGGCCCAGATACAAACAGTCCAGTTTCAAGAGAAGAAGGTGTTGAGCCAAGTGTTACCACATCTGACTCAATACATCCTATAGAGAACATAGAAGCTGAATTGCAGCCAACCTATGATGTCTGCTGAAAGGAACCATCAAGTAGAATCCAGAAAAATCACCCCTCTACTCAAGTGGTGGGAGATATCTTTGATGGAATAAGAACCAGGAGAAAAGACAGAGTGAATTGCAGAGATATGGTAAGATTTGAAAATTTATCTTCTGAATGTGCACTAACTGGAACTACTTGTTTTGTGTCTTCAGTTGAACCAAGGAATATTGCAGAAGCTCTGAAGGATGAATTCTGGATCAATGCAATGCATGAAGAGCTGAATCAGTTCATCAGAAATGATGTTTGGTACTTAGTTCCCAGACCAAGCCATGTAAATGTGATAGGAACTAAGTGGATTTTCAAAAACAAAACTAATGAAAAAAAGGTACAGTGGTTAGAAATAAGGCTAGGTTAGTAGCACAAGGTTATACTCAAATTGAGGGTATAGACTTTGATGAAACTTTTGCTCCTAGAATTGAATCTATTAGGTTACTTTTTGCTATAGCCTGCTTTCTTAAAATCAAACTATATCAGATGGATATCAAAAGTGCATTTCTAAATGGTGTTTTAAATGAGGAAGCATATGTAGAGCAGCCCAAGGGTTTTGAAGATTCTGCCAAGACTAATCATGTTTTCAAGCTTAAGAAGGCTCTGTATGGTCTTAAACAAGCTCCTAGAGCTTGGTATCAAAGACTCACTGACTTCTTACTTGAAATACAGTTCAACAGAGGAGAGGCAGACAGAACTCTATTTGTTAGAAGAACTAATAACCATATCATTATTGTTCAGATATATGTTGATGATATTGTTTTTTGTTCTACTTGTGCTAACCTTTTACAGTCTTTTGTAGATTCTATGTCTCACACTTTTTTGAAATGAGCATGGTAGGGGAGTTGAATTACTTCCTAGGACTCCAAATCAAACAGACAGGTGAAGGAATTTTTGTAAATCAAAAGAAGTATGCTCTCAATCTGGTCAAAAGGTTTGAGTTGGAGTCAGCCAAGCACATGAAAACTCCAATGGGTTCTAGCCAAAAACTGTCCAAGGATGATGTTGCAGAAGATGTTGACAGCACCCTATACAGAAGCATGATTGGAAGCCTTGTGTATCTAACAGCAAGCAGACCTGATATTATGTTTAGTGTTTGTGTGTGTGCCAGGTATCAAGCTAATCCAAAAGTCACTCATCTTAAAGCTGTGAAGAGGATTATTAGGTATGTTGCAGGTACAGTAGACTTAGGTATTCAGTTTTTCAAAGACACTAATACTAATTTGATAGGTTTTAGTGATTCTGATTGGGTTGGGGATATTAGTGACAGAAAAAGCACCTCAGGTGCATGTTTCTTTTTGGAGAATAATCTGGTTTCTCGGTTTAGTAGAAAGCAAAATTGTGTATCTCTTTCAACAGCTGAATCAGAATATGTAGCTGCTGGAGGATGTTGTGGTCAACTAATTTGGATGAAACAAATGTTGGGAGATTATGGGTTGACCAGTGACACCCTTACCATATATTGTGATAATTCAAGTGCTATTGACATTTCAAAAAATCCTGTTCAACACTCACGAACTTAACACATAGATATTAAACATCATTTTATTCGTGATATAGTTGAGAAAAATATAGTGTGCTTAAAGTACATTCCTACAGAAGATGAGCTGGCTGACATCTTTACAAAGGCATTAGATTATGAGAGGTTTTCTAAGCTTAGAAAATCTCTCGGGATGTGTACTCAATAAACATGTCCTGAAATATGTTGCAACACCTCATCCAATATCTTAAGCTGGAACATAATTTACTCAAGCATAGCTTCTTTAAATAATGACTTCACTGTGATGGATTATTTTCTAAATAAGTAACTGGAAGTCTTTCACCTTGAAGAGTGATCATGCTTCATGTAAACATTTAGAGAACAATTACATTCACATAAGTCAAACGCCTCTATTTTGATAGTCATATCTTAGTAACTGAGGAACCTTTAAACTGAACACTTGATCATATATATATATATATATATATATATATATATATATATATATATATATATATATATATATATATATATATATATACCTGTTAGCCAATTTTTTTCACACTATCAATCATTAATAGATGTGTTTTTTTATTTTTGTGAATATTTCGTGAGTATTACTGTTATTATTCTTATTACTATTATTTTTATTGAATTATCACTATTTATATGGGTCATGAGGACATGGGTTAATCTTTTATTTTCCACTAAGTCCACTCCTTATTGTGCCATGTGTCACGGTTTGCTTTAAACTGCCAAATAAACCTTTATTCTCCTTAATCACACTTTCTCCAAGAAAAACGCACACCACTTCTTCACCTTCTCCACTTCAATTTTTTTTCAAGAAAAATTAGGGCTTATAAATTTCGTGCTTCTTCTTTCGAAAATTCACACTCAAAAATCAAAAAGCACAAGAATCATTTTTTCTTTATCTACTGTATCATGGCATCTCCTCCTAAAAATCCCCTTCCAACCGTTGGTGATGTCCACAACGATGCTGCAGCACCTGAACCAGCAGACCTGAATCTGGCTATCATCGTTCATCCTGTCAACCTTGAAGTTGTGCCAATCAGTTATATTGAGCCCGGAGACGAGCTGAATCCGATCGACCCAGACAACTTCGATTTCGTGGGTCCCACTTCCACTGCCGGAAGATTTCCAACTCGTCGGTCCAAGCGCATGAATCCCTTCCCATATCTGAACACTGCTGGGTCACAACGCCGGAAGGGAGGTAACTCTCCCAGAAGAGGAGGAAGAGGTGGAAGAAGAGGTGGCAGAGGTGGCCGTACTCCAGTTAGGCCAAATCCTCCAAGAGGTCTCCATTTGGTTGATGAAGACACAGATGATGAAGGAGATCCTACCTTTGCAGAACCAGAGGCCCAAGCTCTATCCTCCAGCTCCTCCGAGTCATCATCCAACGACTCACCTCTCCCAGCATCAACTCAGGGGGAGACATCTCAGCCTAACATGGCAGCAGCAGCCTCTCAACATCCTGTTTCTGAAGGTGTTGCTGCACATGTTCCAGAAGATGCTGCTGCACCCACTGTCTCAGCAAATGTCCCTCAGAGTGCTGCTGAGGATGCTGGTCCCTACCAGGATGAAGAAATGCCTAATTTTTCTGGGATGTCCTCTGCCAAGCATGTTGACATTCCCAATGTTGATGCTCAGGATTTAACTACCACTGAAGAAACACCCTCAGCACCACATGCAGACCCTCTGGTAACTCTGGCAGAAGCAGCTGTTCAAGTGGATGCATCACCTCCTCAGGCTGAAGAACCAGAGAAAAGTGATGACAGCTGGGAGGTTCCCCTTGCCTCTTTTCGCAAAAAAATTCCCTCCACAGAGTCAGACAGTGACTCTTCTGAGGAATCTTTTCAGAAAGAAGAAGATGCTGCCCCACCTGTTGCATCACCTGAGCCAGCATACATCCCAGATGAGCTTGAAGACTCAGAAGATGAGGAATCCTCAGAGGAAGAAGAACCAGACTTGGATGGGAAGGATCTGTCAACTCCTTTTGAGGTAAACAATGCCTTCAGTCCTACTTTTTATTTTGAATCTAATTCAAATTTGAGTCATCAAATCATGAATTGCCAATTCATTGAGGAAAATAAAATTTCCAAGGACGAGTTTGATAGACATAGGATCACTGCTTTTCTTGATCAAAGAAAAATCCTTAGTCTAGTTGAGGTTGCCTGTTCTTATGATCCCTCTGTTGTGAAGGAATTTTATGCCAATTTGCAAACCTCCTTTTTAAAGAAAAACTCTCCAAACTTTGGCAAAGTTTTTGTGCGAAATTCCATTTTCTCTTTTTTCTCCCAAAATTATCAACTCTCATTTACAAACTCCTACTTTGATTGATGAGGATAATTATGGTGATTTTACTGAGGTTTGTAAAACTCTTTCTGGAAATCGTCTAAAATGTTGGCCTGCTCACCCCAGAAAATTCAAGGTTTCTCAACTCACTGCCTTTTATTCTGTCTTGTTTAGACTCACAGTGATGAACCAAAAATGTCTTTGTGGTAACTAAACCTCATGCAGTACTCATGTACAAATTGGGGATGGGATTACCAGTTGATTTTGGCAAACTTTTCTTTAATAATATAGGTCATCTTGCACAGAAAATTTGACCCTCTACTCATCTTCCTTATCCTTCTCTCATCTACTCCATTTTACTCTCTCAAAACTTGGGCCAAGATGAATCTGAATATCTTCACACTCCACTTGGCATGATCACAGTTTCTCAAAATTTTCTAAAAGCTCCTCATGTCCAAGAGCTTCCCTGGAATGGAGATAATTTTCTCTCAACTGAATCAGGTCAAAATAATCTTGGTACTGAAGGTGTTGCTCATCATGTTGACAACACTCCTGACATTCTTGTTTCTGTTCCTAGAGATCTTTTGTTACAACAGCTTACTCACTCTCTAGCTCAGATTACTTATCACCAGTCCATGGTGGAAATGCTCCAAAAAGCTCTTTCTGATTAAAAAGGGGGAGAAAAAGCTAGGCATGAAGTTGAAGCATGAACTTCTCACCCTTTGGATACCAGAGGTAGAGAACAAGGAGTTAATGAAGAAGGAGCAAAGAATGAGGGTGAAGCTCAAGGAGCAGAGAAAAGCAGTGGATCCAGTGCTAGTGATGGAGGAGCAGCAGCTGATACTGAGGAGACTTTGGATATTCTTCTTTAATTGTTTTTATGAACAATCTTTTGATTTTGTTCTGTTTTTATTTTTCCCTCTGAACTTTTGTTTAGGACTGCACTTTGCTTGTTTTTCTTTCTTTTAAATTATGTTGGACTATCCTGCTGAATTTGTTTTGAATTGATTTTTCTATATTTTGTTTATTATCAAATTCAGGGGGAGTTCAAGCAATATCTCAGGGGGAGTTTTAGCTAAAATTTAGTTTTGATCAGAAAGTTAAAAATGGGGAGTTTTAAGCACGTTGGTTTTTCTACAAAAGTGTTTTTAACTCTCTTACTTTCAAACTAAATTTTAGTTATGACTTAGTGGGCTAAGTGTTATGACTTAGTGGGCTAAGTAGTGCTTAGTGAGTTTAATTGTGAATTTTATTCTAACTTCCTAACTAACCCACTAACCCATTTTCTTGAGTGCTCTTGAAGTTGGTTTTCTTGCAGATCATGGGCTGAGAAGTGGAAGCTTGGAAAGTCTATAAATACAAAACTCAAGACACAAGAAATGTACAGATTTCGAAGGAACAAAAAACCGAGTGCTGAAGTTTATCTACGAGAGTTTTAGTGTGTTTCTTGGATTTGTTGTACGTACTCTTTATGAGTACATTCTTTGAAATCTAGAATTTTTAATATTTCTCTTTTTGTATCTTGATTTGAATGTAAGAATGATCATGAGAATGATTCATTCATAAGGAAGAAGTTTTCGCACCTCTTCTGTTTGTATTCTTGGAATACTGTTTTAATATATTTTTCCGTCCTCTAAAGGGAAAGTTCACAAGTCTTTACTTGTGAACATTTTTAAATCTGAGTATTGTCTTTTTATCTTTATATTTCTGCTGCATGTTTTTTCAAGTGTCATAACACTTCAGATAACATCTTTGTATTAAACGAATTCGGGACCATAAATTCTTTCAGAATACACTGAGACAGAAGCATGGCACAGGTTCTCAATAATTACATCGAAATGAAAAGATAAAAATGAGGGAAAGAAGTAAGAGAAACAACACAAATACCCATTCAGAATGAGTAATTTTGACACATGCAAACTAATAACTGGCGCAGTCTCAGAAACTCCACTAGAATGTCAAACTACTGCATGCATTGACTTGGCTATCACATGCACTTTAGTTGAGCATAGACCCGCACGTATAAGGAATACACTCAAAGTTACCCCCTCGTCCGTGAACATTGAAACATAAGTTGAAATGATAAAACAAACGCTGAAAAATCATGCAATGGTACGCCAAATCGAAGAAAATGATGTCTCTCTATTTCCCAGGAACACAACCCGGTAAGGTGAAGCATAAGAAAAAAGAAAGTTATAGTATAATCAGGCAACATAATTATTTGCCGGCATCACATTTTAAAATAGAAGCAGACCTCGCTTCGATTTTCGGCAATGATATACGATGGACTGATTCCTCAGCATCCACTGCCGGTGACCTATATCCAGTCAACGTGGAATACTGGGAGAAGAGAGATCTATAAACACTATCTGAAAATTCTTTGTTTCTTCGATTTTGTGTACATTTGTGGTTTTGATCTGAATGCAGTTTTGATGGACAAGAGAAACAAATAGTTGTTGCTAAATTTGTTTTAGGAAAAAAAAACATATACATTTTTTTATATTAACTAGTAAGTGACAAGTGCGTTGCACGTGGTTTATGATTTTTCATAATATTAATATATAATCTCTATCCCATTAATATAATATTACAAAATTATATAGGGAAAAAATTAATAAAACAATATAAACACTAGTACTTATTTGAAGTACTTTATTTTTTAATTAATAACTAATATCAATCTAAATGATATTTTTAATGATTTGTAAAATTAATTTCAAGTCCATAGCGAGCCAACTCATGGAAAGATGATGCACCCAAAACCATATCTCTCGGTGATATTATCAGGTTTTTTTTCCAATATTGATCACTATTAGAATCAATATTTGCCATTATTGATCACTATCTCGTTGATATTAGCCAATATTGATCACTATTAGAACCAATATTTCTAAATATTTATTCCCTTCTTTAATGAACAAAACTATCCTTTGCACTTGTAAATTTATAGGGGTAATTTTGTCATATTTTATTAACATAATAATTGATAGACAATGAAGACTTTAATATTTATAGTCTTTACAATTAACGACTTGAGTTATGGTAAAATCATTAATTAATCATTATCACTAACTATTAACAACATCGAGAGGGTTTATTTCCTACTCCGAAATGCACAATTCTATCTTTTATGTTTTATTTGCATATTTTCTATTAATTACTCTTCAGGTAGAATAGCTTTGATATTTGCCAATATTGATCACTATTAGAACAAATTTCTTCTTGAAAAAAGTTAATAAAAAAATATGAACACAAAACTTATTCCACAATACTTTATAATTAATTAATAATTAATATAAATCTAAATGATATTTTTTAATTTAGATTCATGAAAATATTACTTTATTTTTCTTTATTTTAAGTCGCATACTTCTCGTTCTGAAAATTTTCACACGTGTTATTTTTTCGTTGTTACTTAATTTAAATATCGTCGCAATATTAACTACTCTTTCAACATTTTTTTTCCTTGCATATTTTTTCGTAAATTATATGCATCAAAAGTAATTTTTGATATGACTATTCTTTTAATATCCTTTTACAATATTACTTTTGTTATTCTCTTTGACCCATAGCTAGAATATATAAACAGATCCCACTATATCATGTGGAGTGATATTTTCATTTCTATGTTATTATAATTTACATCCAAATAAATAAACTAAAGTCAATCAAATTACATTATTTTATATGTAATTCACACCTACAAGCTATAATATTCATTTATATAACCTCCCATTTTTTTTTAATGTTTTGAGGTTTGCCAAATTCAGTTTGAATTTTTGTAAATAATATTTGAAATCGAAACAGTACCAGGCTACTAAAATATTGAAAATATATTTAACACCTCCCATATTTTATACTAATCTCTTGATATATCACTTTATTATACAGTTTTCAGTTTCAGATCACTATTCACTATCACAACCACCTCAAAAAATATGTACATTCAACATCAAGATCATCTTAATAGATCAAAACTTTAAAAAAAAATATGTTGCACGCTTTTGGAAACGATCTATTAGGAACAATTGCTTGGACGGCCATCCTCCCAGAACTCTGGCCAATTTTTCTCCAACCTGGAGTTTGTTTTCACATTTACTGGAACAGATATTGTGACCTCTTAAGACATAATAATAATAAAAAAAAATAAAAATAAAAATGAAGCAATTGGTAAGAAAATAGATTATGCCTCCGAACGAAAAAAACCAAACGATTATATAAATATATTTAAGAAATACACATACAAGATTATAACTTATAAGAATATTTATGATGGAACTTAATTATGTTAGGCTTATGTTGCATCGTTAGATTTCTTCAAATAATAGGCAAATAATTGTTTTTTCATAAATAGGTAGATAAATACAATTCTAGAATAACTACCCAATAAATAATAAAGTGCCAATAAACATTCACATAACGTTTTTTATTTGAATTGAGAATTTACTTATGAATTCATATATATATATATATATATATATATATATATATATATATATATATATATATATATATATATATATGCACGAGACCAAATTTGGTTAAATCTTTGAAGACCTTTCTCTTCCCGGTGTGATAGTTAGAGCGTGGAAAGAGACTTAAAGCTCTAAGTAACCCATAACAAAAAATACTACCAACACAAAGAAACTTAAAACCACCATATATCCTACGAAAGTTTTGTCAAGTAGAAAGAGCAAAGAGTTGGTTTCAGTTTACGATACCTCATTTTGCATCGTAAAACTTTCGATGTCATTCTTTTTTGGCCATTTAACTCATTACCACCAAATTAATAATAAAACATAAAATATAACAATAGGGTAAACTGCATAAAACCCCCTTGTGTTATGGAAAATCCGCTCCAAACACCTATGGCTTAACTTTATTGCATAGAATTCTCCTTTGTTTTATTTTATCTTACATAAAATTCCCCATTCCGTTAACTATTAACACCGTTAACTATTTAGGGTATTCCATGCAATTTATTCATAACACGAGGGGGTTTGGTGCATTTTTTTCATCAATATATGAGGGACGTATGCAAAATATTTTATTTATTTAAAATTTGAATTATTTTTTTTAAATTAAGTCTAATGGTAACGATGGTAGTGATGAAATTCTAGCAAATTTGTTTTTTTTTTTTTTTTTTTTTTTTACCGTTTCCAATTCAAATTTTACAATTTTAGAACTTTTTTCTTCATTTCGATTTCATTTGTTTTAAAAAACAATTGCATCAAATTTGAAACTAATATGTTTTTTGAAATTTCCAGTTTTGAATAAAGAAATTATTTTATGAATGTATTTAGAAAAATATTATATTTATAATATCAAAATGCTTATATATTTATATAATTTAGCGTGTATGTATTATATGTCAATGAATATAAATTTTATGAAAATTTGAATTTAGTTTGATATAAATATTTATATCAATAATTTTGAAAATTCGACTTTCAAAGATTGAATAAACGGGTTTGACTTAATTTCAAAAAATAATTCAACTTTAAAATAAATAAATAAAATTTACATAAGTTTCACTTTTATTGTACTTAACATGCACCAAACCCCCTTGTTGTGACGCCCACTACCAAAATACACTATACTTTTTTTTTTAATACTAGATTAAATTCTCTAAAATATCTGAATAACTTCTACTCCTAAGAGTCGTCAACATAACCGTCCACTAATGCACCTGTTACTGAGAATAAGAAGAAAAATAAAAGAGGAGTAAGTCCAAGTGGACTTAGTGAGGAGTAGAAGGAAAAAACAGTCGAATCAAATAATAATCACAATATAAGTGTTCAAGGAATTGGAGTTGGAATTGGACCATCTAGAGAATGATCGTTCGTTGAGGAATAAGAAGCTAAAGTATAAG